AAGGAAACCAATGCCCCCAAAACCTCAGCCCTGCCCACACCTTGATGGAACTTCCGGCATCCCAAACTCTAACATGGCAAATATGTGTTGCTTTAAGCTGCTAAATTTGTGATGATTTATTATAGTGGTAACAAGAAACTCAAACATCCCCAATTCCTGTTTCCCCAAATCTTGTTCATTTTTCCCATAACATCCACACTTTCTTTTTCTCCTGTTTTTTTTTTTTTTTTAAAGATTTTTATTTATTTATTTATTTGAGAGGTAGAGTTACAGACAGTGAGAGAGAGAGAGAGGTCTTCCATCGCTGGTTCACTCCCCAAATGGCCGCAACGGCCAGAGCTGAGCTGATCTGAAGCCAGGAGCCAGGAGCCAGGAGCCAGGAGCTTCTTCCAGGTCTCCCATGTGGATGCAGAGGCCCAAGAACTTGGGCCATCTTCTACTGCTTTCTCAGGCCATACCAGAGAGCTGGATTGGAAGAGGAGTAACTGGGACTTGAACCCGGCACCCATATGGGATGCCAGCACTGCAGGTGGAGGATTAACCTATTGCGCCACAACACAGGCCCCTCTTCTGTTTTTTAAAAAAAGATTTATTTATTTATTTGAAAGGTGGAGTTACAGAGAGGGAGAGGCAGAGGCAGAGGGAGAGAGGTCTTCCCTCCACTGGTTCACTCCCCAGATGGCTGTAACAGCCGAAGCTGCGCAAATCCGAAGCCAGGAGCCAGGAGCTTCTTCCGGGTCTCCCACATGGGTGCAGGGGCCCAAGCACGTGGGCCATCTTCCGTTGATTTTCCCAGGCCAATAGCAGGGAGCTGGATGGGAAGTGGAGCAGCTGGGATAGGAACTGGTGCCCATATATGGGTCCAGCACCACTTATTAACTTTTCCGTGCTGGCCTGCATACAGACAGGGGCTGGATGAAAGGGGGCAGGTATGATGTGGGCCAAGTGACTGGGTTTATAATACAGGGATAACTAATTTCTTTCTTTGGCACTTGGGGGACAAAATGCCCCCCTTAAGCGGTGGCCTCACTGCACTGGGGAACAAGGAGAATTTCCCCAGAGGCCTCAGGCACTGCCTAGCGTTGCTAAAACAGGCCCAGCCGTGACCTGCACCAGGAAGGAAGGCCACGGTGCTGACCCCAAGTACCCCGTGGGTCTGGCTCTCAGTCTCGGCTGCCTATGGGAATCGCCTAGAGGACTTTTGGAACGTTTGCCCTGTGTCCCCGTCCCCCAGCCCACCCCACCCCAGCACAGAGCCTTGGCCTCAGAACTCTGCAGGTTGTTCTACACCATTCAACACACAAAGGGAAACGCTGGGGACTGGGAACCCGAGCTGAGGTTTCCTGCTGTAACTTCCAGCTCCGTGACCTCAGACAAATCACATGTTCGCTGTGGATCTCAGTGTCGGAGCCAGTAATACCCACTGCCTCGCATACCTCCCGGGATTGTAGCCAGGTCAATCGCCTAAGCGCCCTGGGAACTGGGAGCCGGCTGACAGCAGGGGTAATGACAGCAGGTGCAGCGTCTCGGGTTTCTTCCCAAGCCGGACTCTGCAGCCAGGACGCTCTGGCTCTGCCAGGGACTTCCTGTCCTACCTGCAGACGGGGCCTCATCCCAGGCCATTTGTGGGGTTGCTGTCTTCTCCCGCCTGTCCACCACCCATTCCACCCTGGGCAGCTGAATCTCTCTTCACAGGGACCCGTGAGCTGGATTCAGGGTGGCCCAGCCCCCGGGAGGCTCATCACAACCTCTGGGGCGCCTGTGAGACTTGAGAAAGCACCTTCAGCATTACACTGCCTTCCAGGGTACTTCAGAGCGGCCACGGAAAATGGAATTAAAAGGAGCTGCTGGCCCTGCGGTGTAGAGGGTAATGCTGCTGTCTGCGACGCCGACATCCCATGTGGGTGCTGGTTGGAAATCCGGCTGCACCACTTCCGATCCAGCTCCCTGCTAATGCACCTGGGAAAGCAGCAGAGGATGGCCCAAGTGCTTGGGCCTCTACACCCATGTGGGAGACCCGGACGAAGCTCCTGGCTCCTGGCTTGCCCAGCCCCAGCCATTGCAGCCATTTGGGAAGTGAACCAGTGGATGGAAAATCTCTCTCTCTCTCTCTGCATTTCAAATTAATAAATCTTAATAAATAAATAACAAAATTATCCCTATTGCTTTGCTACGAGAAATATCCCAAGGTAAAGCTCAACCCCTGTCTCACCCTAAAGCCCTGTCCCCTGCAAACCCCTGCAGAGATGCAGACTAAGCGGGGCTTGGGAGAGGCTGGAAAGGAGCGAACCAGGCATCTCTCATTCAGGGATGGCGGCTTTCGACAGGGCGAGGGACGCCCCACCTGGGCCCCTCTCTCGGGACTGAAGTCTTCCTGCAGGCAGAGGATCCAGGGACACAGAGCCCAGAGCCCAGTTCCCTTCTGTTTGTTTTATTTATTAGAGAAAGAGAGAGAGAGAGAGAGAGAGAGAGAGAGAGATGAAGAAAGAGATATCGTCTATCTACTGACTCACTCCCCAAATAGCCACCAGGGCTGACACTGAGCCAGGCTGAAGCCAGGAGCCAGGAGCTTCTTCTGGGTCTCCCACAAGGGTGGCAGGGGCCCAAGGACTTGGGCCATTGTTTGTTGCCTTCCCAGGCGCATTAGCAGGGAGCTGGATCAAAAGCGGAGTGGCTGGGACTCGAATAAGCACTCGGATATGGGACGCTGGCACTGCAAGGCTTAACCCGCTGTGCCCCATGCTGATGCCTGCCCCCACCCCAGCTGGTCTTTTGTGTGGCTCATGCTCACACCCTCTTCGGACCCCATGCTGATGAGGACTTGCACCCTGTCCCTCCCAGTGCTGGCCTGCACCCTGTCTCTCCCAGCAGGGGCCTGCTGGCCTGGACTGGTTTTCTGGGGGCTGCCTCTCGTGTTCCTCTGCCAGGCGCCTCCGTATTGTCAGCCGTCTTGCAGGGAGAACCGGCTGCACCGCTCAGCTGAGACCTGATCCCCGTGTCCATGGAAGAGCGATTTCCCGGGACCACCCCACGTCATCTCGAGTCCCTGGCTCTCCCCGCTGCCAGGCCCCTTGCTGGTGTCTGTCTAACACTCCCCACCGTTTGCTTATGGATTCTGTTTAGTGGCCGTTGTGTTTAATGGTCATTATCTGCCTCCCATCTTGAGTGGCCAGCAGAGTGGCTGGCATGCAGTAGGTTTTCAGTGCACCTTTGTTGGAAGAGAGAAATGCACGTCCCAGGCCACGTGAGCCCTGTGGGGTGGGAGCAGCACCCTTCGTGATTCACCACATACACACTCAGTGCCTAGCAAAGGGCTGGCCACAAGGCAGGGCCTTTGTGACTGGGACAGGCAGCTTGGGGACAGCACTGCCTGGGGATCATCCTCCAGAGAGCACAGATGTGTGCAGGGGTGAGGGGGGCATTGCAGGACTTCTGTGAAACCCAGCACTAGCACTAAGGAAAGCTGTGCCACGTCAGGTCCAGGCTGCTCCACTTCCCATCCAACTTCCTGCTAATGCACCTGGGAGGGCAGCAGAAGATGGCCCACATGTTTGGACCCCTGCCACCCATGTGGGAGACCCAGATGGAGTTCCTGTCTCCTGGCTTCAGCCTGGCCCAGACCTAGCTGTTGGGAAGTGACCCAGAGGATAAAAGATCTCTCTGTCTCTCCCTCTGTCACTCTGCCTTTCGAATAAATTGACTAATGGATTGAGCTACAACCTGCAGTGCCAGCATCCAACATGGGTGCTGGTTTCTGTTCCAGCTGCTCCACTTCTGATCCAACTCCCTGCCAGCAGCCTGGGAAAAGCAGTGGAAGCTGGTCCAAGTGCTTGGGCCCCTGCACCCATGTGGGAGACCTGGAAGAAGCTCCTAGCTCCTGGCTTTGGTCTGGCCCAGACCCAGCTGTTGTGGCCATTTGGGGAGTGAACCAGTGAGTAGAAGACCTCTCTCTCTCTCTCTTTTGACAGGCAGAGTTAGACAGTGAGAGAGAGAGAGACAGAGAGAGAGTTATAGACTGAGAGAGAGAGAAATGTCTTCCTTCCATTGGTTCACCCCCAAATGGCCACTACGGCCAGTGCTGCGCCGATCCGAAGCCAGGAGCCAGAAGCCAGGTGCTTCCTCCTGGTCTCCCATGCGGGTGCAGGGCCCAAGGACCTGGGCCATCCTCCACTGCCTTCCCAGGCCACAGCAGAGAGCTGGATTGGAAGAGGAGCAACCGGGACAGAATCCGGCGCCCCAACCAGGACTAGAACCCGGGGTACCAGCACCGCAGGTGGAGGATTAGCCTAGTGAGCCACGGCGCCGGCCTACCTCTCTGTCTTTGCAACTCAGCCTTTCATATAAATAAATCTTTTTTTTTTTTTAAGATAAAGCATGACTAGTTTTAGACTGCGTTCACTGTGAGATGACTCAGTTCCAATCCAAAGCATGGAATGGGGACATTCCACTTGGCTGATGAGGTGATGAGGCTTTGCTTACGTACACAGGATGCTAGCTCAGGGGTCCCACTTGTCTGGATGGCAGCCTGGCAGGGGTGGGGACGGGGCACACTCTCCCCTAATCCTGACCAGACCCCACCACTCTGAACGAGCCGAACAGAACCGAGGGAACCACGGTTTGGGGGATGCCCTGAGTGGTCCAGGAGTGCAGAGGGGCAGGGCAGGGCAGGGCAGCTGTTGCTCTGGCCCTGCCCCATCCTCTCTCCTCTGCCTCTGTCCCCGCACCAGGCCCTGCCCCGGCTCGGATTTCTGCTAATGAGCAGTTGTCAGGCGGGAGCTTTATGAACAGGAGGAAGAGTCCACAGTTCTATTGTAGGGGGTCCCCGACCCCAGCTTGGACCCATCACCATCTAAGAGAACCCAGGGCCCTCCTCTGCCCACTGCCCAACCCCACGCAACCCCTGGGGTCCCTGGGGATTTCTGCCCGGTTTGAGATGGGACTCTGGGGCAGGGGTAGGGTCAGGGCATTTGCCCTAGGCATGAAAACAGCCAAGAAAGATGTCAAGTGAACTCCAAACTTTTATTGGCCCCCCGTGTCCCCAAGGGCACCCCGTCTTTGCCGCCTCAATGCCTCAGGACTTTGGTGTCGTTGGTCTCAGACACCAACTTGCCGTCCACGATCCTGCGGGTGGTGGTCTTCTGGATGGTCTGCATCGAGTTGCTGGCGTCCAGGGCGTCGCTGAGGCTGGAAGAGATGGCCCCCGTCAGGTCAGAGACGAAAGGTCCAGGGGGCGGTGCCCTTTTCTTGGGAGACCGCCCCAGTGCTCTACAGCATGGACTGGGGGGAGCACTCACCTGAACTCCTCCCCGTCTTCCAGCAGGCGGCGGTAGGTGGCGATTTCAGCCTCCAGCTTGACCTTGATGTTCAGCAGGGCCTCGTACTCCTGGGCCTGGCGCTGTCCCTCGGCCCGGGTCTGCGCCAGCTCGGACTCCAGGTGCAGCAGCACACCGTTGAGCTGCTCCATCTGCATGGCGTAGCGCGTCTCCACGTCCCGCAGGCTGTTCTCCAAGCTGATCTTCTGCAGGGGCACAGGCGGGGCAGACGGGGCGGGGGCAGAGGGTGAGCAGCCTCCCAGTGTGCCTG